AAAACAGTTAAGTCAATCTCAACAGAACATGAAGGTTGAAAAGAAGAAGAAGAAAACAAATTTACTGCGGAGTGGAGAGGCAGTAAACTGCCCTGAGGATGTCATTGTGACTTGAGGTTTCGGTAGACATCGGATGACAGGCAGACAGTTGGAATAATTATGGGAGATTTTCTGCCTTCATATTCTCTTCATTTTCAATTCCACATAATGCGTCCTTCCCTGTAGCGAAGTAATCATATTACAGTTTGTATCTATTTAAATGTGTGTGTGTTTTGAAGACAGAAAAAGAGAGTTAGAAGTGCTAACTTTTAGCAGATGTGGTCTTGACATGTATGAGTGTGCGTAATAGAGACGCACTTCTGCTCTTTACTGGGTGTATATGAATAAGAGCTGAAGGGGCAGATTAAAAGTGTGGGGTTTGTGCCCTGAGGCCTGCTCTAGTCTGCCGCAATCCCTTATCCAGCCTCGACCCAGACAGCATTGATCCACACGAGTGCGTGCATGTACAGAGCTTATTAACCCTTGTAAAAACTACCTAGTCTCTGGCTGGTCAACTATTTAACGCATAGAGAGTCTTTTTGGAATCATCATTTAATGCCACATGACATCTGTCGATGAAATTTGTTTCTGTAACTTGTGATTGTTGGTCCAATTAGGTTAGGGGTTCACAGGCAGAAATTGTCGTTCCAATTTTGATGTAGTCGTCCAAACAGTGAAGGAGCAGTCCAACTGTGCTATGGGTTCATGTATGGGCAAACACAGACTCACTTCTGCTGAAATCTCTTTTGTGTCAGGGCTTCAATGCCACAGACGGTTTTACAAGTTTACTATAGGTAGCAAGACAAAACTACAATGTAAACTGTGAAAATGCACACTAAAAAGTAGCTTAGAAGTCCTGATGTTTGCTTTGATATATCGTACTATATAAAAAATAAATAAATAACAATTTGCTCAGCTTGGCTTGATGTGTCTTTAACATTGTGTTTATATCTAGCTATGCAATATCTCTTACATTTTGTTTTGTTTTTCCAGCAGACGTGCAAAGTTTTTGAACATTTGTTAAAAAAAAAACGTATCGCATTATACCAAATACCTTCTTCTAGATAATGAAATTCCCATTTCTGGTGTCATGCAAGATCTCATCTTCCTGCACACGTGATCAAACTGTAGCATGTTATCGTGATATCTTGTTTTAGCTAATCAAAAAGCTTTTTGCAAGCAGTTAGCACTATGCTTCGCTAGTAAATTAAGCAATTAGCATGTAAACAAAAGGTTAAATGAAAACACAAAAAAAGTGTATTTTGATATTTTTCATGATTAAGAATAAATAAAGTGATTTTGTATAATTTCTAATCAGACACCAAAGATAAACCAATTAAAAAAGTTGCCAAGGAAGGGAAACAGGCTAATTGGCTAGCATTATACTTCAATAGTAGAGCTAACATTCTAACTTGAAATGCCACTCCATAGAACATTGGCAAATGCTGACGTGAGTCTTGTGTGAGGGCTTTAACACACTGTAAGCAGCTTGATCCTTTTGTGTGGTATCATAGCAATGTTGTTTTATCTCACAAAGTAGTATTTGTGACGTACTGTAGTGAGGAACCATTTACAAAGAGGAAATAGACATCTGCAGAGTGAGGGGTCGAAAAATAATGGCAAAAATGAAAGCAAAGTGCTGTGGTTACTACATGGGCCATGCAAGTTACCCTTTGTCTTCCTTTCTTTCCTTTTCCTCTCTCACACCCACACGTACATACCCACAGTTACGAATAAAAGTATGCAAATATCGCAGCATGTTTGATTCTCAGACTCTGTGTGAGGTCCCCACAGACTCATCAAGACTTTAGCACCTCCATCAAGTCAGAGCGGAGAGAAAGAGGAGGTCTCAGCTACACCTTACATCACACAAGTGTGAGTGTGTGTGTGTGTGTGTGTGTGTGTCTGTCTGTATGTGGTCTCACTGAGCTGCTGATGTGGAAGGTTGGTTTGTTAAAAAAGGGAGAAAATCATAAAAAGAAAAAAAAAAGTCTTGGGTCCAGGGGTGTGAAAATGGACCTATATCACTATCAAGGACACCTTTAATTACTGCAGCAGGGGTTCTGTGAGGGTGTGCCTGGAGATGGAGGAGTTGACGGGGCAGGAGGAATTCTGGGTAGAACAGATTAGAACATGTTAGAACTCGGTTTGTCTGAGTCAAACTCTTTATAACAAAATTGTTTATTTTTAATGTGTTCATTTTTTTAAATTATTTAATATTACTACGTTGTCATTTTAATTAATAATTATTCATTCAGAATGGCAATTTTATAATATTTTTTTATGTCATCATCCCTGAGTGAATACACCCATGTGACCACTCTGCACGTTCTCCCCATCCCATCCCCACATAAGTTTTTAAAAGAAATACAATCATCTCTACACACATAACCGTTCAAAAGGAAAGATTCAATTATGATTTTTCAACTTTTTTTTTTCTTTCAAAGACGTCTTCTATGCTCACAAAGGCTGCATTTATTTGATTACAAAACACAGTAATATCATTAATATTATTACATTTTAGTTCACAAGAACATTTATTTGAAATAGAAAATTGTTATAACATTGTAGTCTTCACTGTGACTTTTGATGTATTTAATACATCCTTGCTGAATAAAAACCTTTTAAATGGTACTAAGTAAAATACATTTTATAAAAAAAACACTTTTGGATCAAAACAGATTTACTGCTACTTAAAGAAAGTAGTTTAAAAAAGTTAGGAAATGGGTAGCATGGAAGACCAAATTCTTATTGAGTTGTGATGATGAGTGTGTGTACGTGGTCGTTTTAGCACCTGTCTGTCCGCTCATGCACACACACTGCTGAAGACCTCTGAAGACTAACACCCTTCAGTTCAGCCACGTTAAGGTGCTGAACGCTAATGACCTCTTACACATCTTAACTAGGTGTGTCTCAATAGTGACAAGTAGGCCTAATTAAAGTTATCGCTTCCATGTTAATCTGAATTTTTACCTTACCAGCTGCAACCTGGTTGCAATTATTTTGCTGACTACATCTTTTTATTTATTTATTTAGTATTATTATAATTTTTTTTAGCTGTTATATAGCTCAGAATTAAATGTTCTGATTTGCTGTTTTGTGTGTGTGTGTGTTTGTGTGTGTGTGTGATGGAGTATGCTCACTTTCAGTTTTGAATTATTCGTTATTGGAAACTTATATAATAGCGATAATCTACCATAACACAGCGAACCTGTTAATTAAACCTCAGATTTGAATTGTTTGGACGTTTCTTTGTATTGAAGTAAATATGTTCTAAGTCGTATCAGAATGACTGTCTTGTTAGAAGCTCCTCTGTTCTCATGCTCTGGTGTCTCCCTTCCTCAAAGTGTACAAATATATGCAAACGAGAACATTCGTCTGAAAAGACACTCTTTAGTTCTTCATTAGTGGAGGGTGAAGCTACAAAGAGCACAAACAATATGGGGGAAAAAATGCGACGGAATGAATCAAAGGGGTGAGAGCTTTGTCAGACGAGCAGAAGCAGATACGCTGCCTGCCGCCCCATTTCCTCGGCAGAGCGGCTGAATTAGCATGATAATCATTCTCATCGTTTACAAGGGCGAAATGTTTCAGTTTAATGCCTTGCTTGTGTTACAAGCCATGCACTTAATTAGACGGTAATGACTCCGGCGAGGCGAGCGGAGAGAGGAAGAGAGGGGAAGACAGGAGTTGAGGGGATGAGGAGTGAGAGCCCTTCACATCCAAGAGGCCTGCCACATTCACCCACTCCACCTGTCAGTTCTCCCCACACACACACACACACACACACACACACACCCACACACACTGCATGCTGCGTCCTGTAGCCATAGCGACAGTTTACACAGGTAAACTGTGAGGCAGTCTAGTGTCATTGTGACCCTAGGTCACTTCCTTTATGCGCTGTAGGGTATTGGCATATCAGGATAAACAGACCTTTTTGCTTTTACATAATGTTATATCCTGTCCTCCTCTCATTCTACCTCTTTTTATCATTCTTTGGTGTTAGTGAAAGAGTGTTTTTGTCTGTCTGTCCATCTGTCCATCCATCATTCTGCCTATCTATAATATACTTTATATTGCTATATATTATATTATGTTTTTATTTCATTCATTCATTCATTCTTGTTGAGGGGATGAGGAGTGAGAGCCCTTCACATCCAAGAGGCCTGCCACATTCACCCACTCCACCTGTCAGTTCTCCCCACACACACACACACACACACACACACACACACACACCCACACACACTGCATGCTGCGTCCTGTAGCCATAGCGACAGTTTACACAGGTAAATTGTGAGGCACAGTCTAGTGTCATTGTGACCCTAGGTCACTTCCTTTATGCGCTGTAGGGTATTGGCATATCAGGATAAACAGACCTTTTTGCTTTTACATAATGTTATATCCTGTCCTCCTCTCATTCTACCTCTTTTTATCATTCTTTGGTGTTAGTGAAAGAGTGTTTTTGTCTGTCTGTCCATCTGTCCATCCATCATTCTGCCTATCTATAATATACTTTATATTGCTATATATTATATTATGTTTTTATTTCATTCATTCATTCATTCTTGTCAAAAATATTCTTCATTATTGTATTTGGATTTTATTTGGATTTTTTGCAGTGTATGCTCCAACAAATTTAGCAGTGATGCTCATATAGGTAATGCATGTTCAAACACTAATGCAATAAAAAAAACAATTCCCTCAAAATTTTTTTTTATTATATATATATTTTTTTTATTCATCATATTCACATATCCTCACTAACCCATGTATATTTTATATAAAAGTACCAGAACTAATTTATACATATTATTTAATTATTATTTTGAGTGGATGCACCTTGGGTGACGTTTAAGGTCAATTATGGTGCTTTTCCACTGGGTGTACAACCCGGCTCGGCACGGCTCAGTACTGTACAACACGGCACGGCTCGGCTCGGCTCAGTTTGCGTTTCCACTGCAGTTCAGTACCGCTTTAGAGTGGGTGGGATTATTCACATGTCGTTATAGTTGTGCCGCCTCTATTGCCGCGATTCCTGAAAAACTTTTTAATTCCGTGTCGCCCCATCAAGCTCGCTGGATCCGCTCCTCTGCTATCAACGAGAGGAACATCTGTACTTCCTCAACAGACAACAAAACAGCCACTTTTTGGTTGTTAAAAAAGGTGCGCTTGTTCAAAACAGTTGCGTTCGATCCTTCGCTGGCTGTGCTGATTTAAATCTAGCGGTTCTGTTGTGTTTGTGTCGCAAGTTCAGTGACGCAGGTAGTGACGATTCTCTCCGGCCAATCCGTGATCAGCAGAGTTTACACGTCACGTTTTGGTAACGGTACGGTTCACTTGGAACCTCAACCGAGGTGGTACTAAAAAAAGTACCAGGTACCACGTACTGTACCCAGTGGAAAACCCCCCAAAAGTGAACCGTACCGAGCTGTACCGTGCCGTACCATGCAGTGGAAAAGTGCCATTAGATGTTCCACTGTGCCTGAAGCAATACATTTATGTAATACATTTAGTTGATTTAGAGGATGTATTTATTTAATTAATTTGATGTATTTTAATGTATTTATAATACACCC